CTCAGCCGGTTGAGCGTCCGACTTCAACTCAGGTCACGATCTCACGGTCCGTGGGTTCGAGCCCTGCGTCGGGCTCTGGGCTGACAGCTCGGAGCCTGGAGCCTGCTTCGGATTCTGTGTCTCCCTCTCTCTCTACCCCTCCCCCACTCATGCTCTGTCTCTCTCTGTCTCAAAAATAAATAAACGTTAAAAAAAAATTTAAAAAAACCCTGCAAGCTGTTGCAATCGACACAACCTGAGATATGATCGGCTTAACACGTCATTCACATAAATTCTGATGTGGGTTGGCAGGGACTTTTCTCAGGTAACTCAGGGATCCAGACTGCTTCCATCTTGGGGCTCTACATCTCAACATAGGGTCCCCATGTTTGCTGCAAACGACAGGTGGGCCACCCAGGAAGGAGAGAGAGACAAGGTGTGGATGAGCACTTCTGATGTCTCCCAGAAGCTGACCCCCAGGAGGTGCTTAAGGAAAAGGAATTTGCTATGACATCAACCCTCTTCAATTCTTGGAGGAGTTTCTGAGAAAAATAAGTTTGCCTTGAAATTCACCAGCTTTTGCAAGAGCCTACGATGTGACAGGTGCTCTCAAATACCGGGTCACATCTAGTTTTCCAGGGAGGCTCTCAATCTTAGCGGGGAGGACTCACCCTTCTTCACTCACTAGCACTCTTCCGAACTGACTGCCTTTTGCAATAACTTCTATCATCTCAGCAGACGGAGGATTTTCTCCTTCCTTGTAATGCAGAGTCGGAATCTTAATTTATGAGCCTCTGCTGCCTTCCACACAACTGTAACATCCTGAAAAGCTTTTGGCACACTGCAAACCAGGATTTTGCTGTGGGGCCACTACACAGACAAGGAGTAACGGAAGGATGGTTGTTTTAGTCAGCGTGGGCTGCTCTAATAAGATTCCATCAACTGGGTAGTTTAAACAGAAATTTCTTACTGTCCTAGGGTCTACAAAGTCCAAGACCAGGGTGGTAGCAGATTCAGTGTCTGGTAAGGACCTGGTTTGCAGCCAGGCAGCCAGCCATTTTCTCCTTTTCTCATCCCATGGCCAAGAGGTCTCACGTCTCCTTCTCTTATAAGGACACGAATCTCATCATGGAGGCCCCACAATCATGATCCCATTGAAACCTAATGACCTCCCTAAGGCCCCACCTCCTAACACTACCCCACTGGGGGTTATGGTTCCAAAGGATGAATTTGGGGAGAACACAAAACATAGAGTCCATAACAGTGATTGTTTTTTTCTTTTTAAATCAGAGCTAGTATGTCTGCTAAGGAACCATTCTTAACTTCCTAGAAGGACTCCAAGGATTTTAAGAATTCAGCCTCGGTAGATGTTTGCTTACACAGAGATTTCCATGGCCTTTCCTTATCTACCATTTTTGAGGGAGGCTTTGGGATTTGCTTGTTTGTGTTTAGTTTTTTTTTTTTTTTTTCTTTTGAGGCTTTGGGTTTTAACCACGTGGGTAAACTTATTCATCTGTGTATGTGTTCAGTGGACAACGTCAGAAACAGGCAGCCCATTAAAATCTTACCGCAAATATCATGGTGGTTTCAAAAGTAATCTGACTTCAGGGGCACCTGTGTGGCTCAGTCAGTTAAGCGTCTGACTCTTGATTTCGGCTCAGGTTATGATCTCCTGGTTTGTGGGATCGAGCCCCGCACTGGGCTCTGCACCGACAGTGGGGGGCCTGCTCGGGATTCTCTCTCTCCCTCTCTCTCTGCCCCTCTCCTGACTATGATAAATAAACATTTTTTAAAAAAAACTCTGACTTCAGAGTTATATCCCGATAACCGGTAGATTATGTGTCACATCAGACTCCACTCACAAGCCTATTGGGAAAACACTTTGACAGGTTTTTAAATACACCCAGCGGGGATGATCCTAGGGCTGTCATAAAAATGTACCCCAAACTGGCTGGCTTCAAACAACAGAAATGTATTCTTTTGTAGTTCTGGAGGCTAACAGTCCAAGATGAAGGTGTCAGCAAGGGGGCTCCTTCTGCAGACTCGGAGGAAGAACTCTGTCTCCTGACTCTCTCCTTGCTTCTGACAACTGCCAGCCATCCTTGACATTCTTTCCTTCCAGATGCTTCACTCTAGTCTCAGATTCCATTCTTCACAGCCCCTCCTCCATGTCCTCTGTGTGCTTAAATCTCACTCTCCTGTCCGTTATCATGCCGCTCACTGTTTTTAGGGCCCACCCTAAGTCCAAGAGAATCACAACTCGAGATTCCTAAAAGGCATTCATGTTTGCAAAACCGCTACTTCCAAATAAGGCCACATACACACATACAGGTGTGCCCCGTTGTTCAAAAGTTCATACTCTGCCACTTCACTGTCATGAAATATCTAGGTCAGTACCCGTTTCTGCTACCTGAAAGAAATCCAAAGAATCTTTAAAAAAAAAAAAAAAGGTGAAAAGCAAAACTAGATGCCAGCATTTGTCCTGCAGTGAGCCCTTGCAGGGGAGGTACACACCCCGAGCAGAGAGGGCAGTGCTCCCCAGCTCCTTCCCCCAGCAACTACACTCAGCATCTCAGCCTCAATCCGCCATAACTTTGAAGTTGTCTTTGAGCATCTGTACTTTACCTTGATTTATTCTGTGCATCTACTAGCAAGATGTGTCCTAAGGTATCACAAAAGCCTAAGAGAGGTGATTTTGGGGGTCTGGGAATGCTAAAAAAGTTTTCCATATAATTAATGGTAGTCTTTCCTCCACGTTATCATAGGAATGCTCCACTTTCAGATAGAGGGGGAATTCGATAGGAGATCAGGGCTTGGATATATCTTTGGCGGGGGGGGGGGGGCGGGCGGTCACCATGCAATTCACTACAGATGGATCTAAACAACACTTGTCAAAATCAAACTTTTATGTCCATGGGGCTGTTGCAGTCAGGGCTCCAGAGTGGTTTGGGACAACCAGGGGACTTCTGCAGGGGTAGGAATGTCCTATGGTAGGGGCAAGGCAGATGGTCCAGGGGTGTCCACTGGGAGCAGAGCACAGCCGTTAGAGGAGACAGTGAAAAGCTGGGCAGTAGGCCAGGGTTCAGAGTTGAATGGGAGGACACATGGGACGACCCAGAGGAAGGTGCTGTAATTCAGGGAATTGCTGGGACTGGACACAAATGCCAGGACCTGGGTAGAATCAGCTATGAAGGTATCAGAGGGATCAGAGCAGGAGTCCCCTAGATAAGTGAAGCTCCATCAGTTCCCAAATTATGTTTTATTCTCATTTCTTCTTCCTTCTTTAGGGGCCTGCTTTTAGTACCTTGTCACATCGTCCCTCTTTTGCCACCTGAGAACCATTATGAAGTACTAAGAGAAATGGTGTGGGACAGAAAACCTGCCTCAGGTTATGGGGAGTGGAAACAATGTGGGCCCTAAATAAACTCAGACCAGAGTTATGGTCCCAGCTCCATCACTGGGCTGGGTATAATCTTGGGGATATTACTGATCACTATGAGCCTTCGATTCATCATCAGTCAAATGGGTTTGACAATGAAGCAAGGCTGCTGGAATGTATGTGAAGGAAAGTAGCTGGCACAGTGCCTGGCATTTATTGGATCTTTAACAAATGGCAGCTATTTCTAATATTATTTTGTCCCCAGACCCTACTGCCCCCTCCTCTGGGATTTTGTGTTTATACAGGACATCTCAGACAATACACAGCTCCATAGGAGACAGACTATCAAATCAGGCAAAAGTGCAGCTTCACAGATAAAATTCATTACATTTTTTCTCTTAGGGGATATATTAATTTGGTTATGGGTTAGCCTTTCTCAGCTGATAGAACTCAAGTTCCCAAACTTTGAATCAAAGACCAACTCCTTTCTTCCCTTCTTGCTGTTCATCCATCCAAAACACTATTTTCCTTCATTTCACTCTCCCCCAAAACCGAAATATGCTTAGATTTGGCTTAATTACACTCAAGATAACCTACCTTTAGGGGCACTTGCGAGGCTCAGTCAGTTGGGCATCTGAGTCTTGATGTCAGCTCAGGTCATGATCCCACGCTTGTGGGATCGAGCCCTGCGTTGTGCCCCATGCTGAGCGTGGAGTCTGCTTAAGATTCTCTCTCTCCCTCTCCCTCTGAGCCTCTCCCCTGCTCATGCACACTCCAAAATACAACACATAAGTACATTTTTAAAAAAAGGGGCGCCTGGGTGGCGCAGTCGGTTAAGCGTCCGACTTCAGCCAGGTCACGATCTCGCGGTCCATGAGTTCGAGCCCCGCGTCGGGCTCTGGGCTGATGGCTCGGAGCCTGGAGCCTGCTTCCGATTCTGTGTCTCCCTCTCTCTCTGCCCCTCCCCCGTTCATGCTCTGTCTCTCTCTGTCCCAAAAATAAATAAACGTTGAAAAAAAAAATTTTTTTTTAAAATAAAAAGAAAATAAAACCTACCTTTAACGTTATCTTAATGGTGTAGGCTCTGGTTCTCTCAGGCCAGGGAAGAGTGGCAGCCAAGTGGCTTCTGGGTACCACCTCAAGGGACTATTACCCTATGCTCAGGAAATCATTGCAGACGATGGATAGAACACCTAGTCACTGCACTGTGCTAACCGCGCTGGGACAAGGGCTCAGGCCATCTTCCATACCTGCCCCGGATGGAGATTTCCCTCTGGCTTCTCCATGATACAAAATTGACTACTAGGCAGTTTCCTATTCCAGGCTTTTCTGTCACCTCTAGAACACATCACCGGAGAGTCCGGCCCCTGCTACCACACACAGGAGGAACTACGGTTCCTAAACTGCCTTGGCTCAGGGCATTTCTACTTGACTGCTCGCATCTGGAGTTTCACCTCCTTGCTCCTTGTTTTCGCATGTTCTTCACGTATTGGAAGACATCTCACCATCTTCCTGGTGATTGCTGCTCCTAGCCCCTACCATTTTATGATTAGGGGCGTGACTTCCGCTATCAACACAGTGCTTTCTAAGGAGAAAATACCCAATTAACATTTGGCAAATAAATGAGCCAGTAAGCAGGATCTTTCATTTAATAAGATTTATTAAGATTATGCCTACTTTCTTCAGTAAGCCAAGCAAGTCCAGGTATACGTCTTTTAATTTTACAGAACAATAAATTAGTGGTTAAGGGAATCCAAAAATGAACCACCTTTTACATTCCATTTTTTTCCGATTTTCTTTCACATTTCCAAGGAAATTCCCATTCCAGTGTTGTTATCTTGTCCCAGATCACAATATTTGATATTGTGATATTTGATAGTTTGATATTTTATTTTGTAAAATATCAAAAGTCATATTCTTAAATCTGAGAAACATCAACAGATATGTGACAAATTCATTCACACACTTAGATTCTAAAGCTAAAAAACCTTCCAGTAAAAGAAACAGCATTTGAAAAACACCAAAAGGTAAAAAAAGATAGACTTCCAAATCATCTATGTAGAACAGGAACACAAAGTTGTTGCACATTGTGTTCTCCCCAGTTTGACCCTGACCCTCTACTCAGAGCCAGGACTGCCCTCTTCAAATAGAGAGTGAATATTCGGGCTCCCTCTTCAGTTGGGGCGGAACTGCTGATCAATGCTGTGCAATGAACATAGCAGCAGTGCTTTCCCCAGATCCAATTCTGGCCCGAGGCCACTCTTTCTCGTATTTTAAAGCCTCCTCATACCAGAATGAGAAGGAAAGGGGGTCAATCCCTTTGATCTTAACCAAAAATTCTAGAACTTTCACCTTGGTGATTTCAGCATGGGCCCTGAGACCCCACAGGAATTCATAGCGTGGAGGATTGCTGGCAGGCACCTGCCGGTATTCTAGGTAATGCTCATACACCCAATCTATGGTGATGAGCTTCCTGGGCTCCCCATAAATGAAATGCTCCCTCCCGGGATACACTCCCATAATACTCAGGAAATCCCAGAGGTCTTCCTCAGGGATGCAATTGCCCTCTATGAAGATCACACCCAGGATGATTATCAGGAGACCGTTCTTAGGCATGCCGTGGGTGTCACTAGACACCTCAACACTAGTGAGGTCCAGTGAGTTGACAAAGATATAGGAGGGGACAGAAATGTCCACCTCCCACATATCAATGCCAAAGATCACCTCCATAAACTTAGAAGCTTTCTTAAAGATCACAGGGAAATGTTTCCTGTACCTTTTCATGATAACCATCAGCATTTCTGCCTGTGTGACGGGCTCCTGCAATCGGTACTTAAGGATCATGAAATTCACTAAATCAGCTACCTTCTCATCTAGTGGGTCTGTGGGTGAAGATTCGGTGTCTATTGAGGTCTGCAGGAAACATGTATCTTCTTCTTCTTGGCTATTGGAGCCTCCTTCTGATGTGCTCCGTGATACGGAGAAGAAGCAGGGGCTCTGAGGGTTCTGGGGAAGACTCAATGTTGTGGCGGGCTCCTTCTCAGGCTCCTCCTCCTCCACCTCCTTCTCCTCGTTGGAAACCGGGATCACAGGAGAGGAAGGCAGGGAGCAGGAGGTGGAGGGATAGGAGAAATTGAAAGAGCAAGAGGAGGAAGTCTCCTCCTCCTCCTCCTCCTCAGCTGTGAGAACACCGGCCACCGCCAGGTCCTGTATCTCATTTTGGGCCTCAAAGTCTGGTTCCAATGTGAGCCGCGGACGCTTTGCAGAGCGAAGCATGATGACTCTGGTTGGCAGCAACAAGTAGAAGTGTGAGCGGGATGGTGGGAGATCGGGTGCCACAGGCCTGGAGACAGAGGGAGAGGATCAACAGTCTCAGTAGAGAAACACATCCTTGGCAGCTCTGACAAAGGCCAACTTACAGGCTCTTTGGGGGCGGGGGTGGGGGGATGCTCTCGGGCTTCACGGGGCTCCTGTCTTCCTGGACAGTTCGTCCCCTAGAAACCTCTAGGAGGATGTGAGAAAATTCCTGAGGGTGCAGCCAGCCGGCACAGCTCAAGGCTTCCAGAGCCAACACTGGGCAGGTGGAGTCGAGCACTGGGGGGTCCCTTCTGTTCTGACACAGGCGGGTCCTTGATAGACATTCAGGAGGTGTACCTCACCTTGGCTCCTAGCACTGCCTGGGCCTCCTCTGCTCTGCTGAACTGAGGACATGTGTCTCACACCAAGACCTCACCTCATCGTTCCCTGAGCCCCGAACAGGCTCTGTGAGGACCCTACTGCCCTGCAGTGGATGACCCCCCCCGTGCTCACTAAGGTTCTCACCTTTTCCCTAACAAGACCTGCCCAACCTTGGCCCCCTGACCTTGGCCAAACCCTCCCCGACTTCCCTGCCTCTGCCAGCCTCAGGCAAAATTTTCCGCACAGGAACTCACCTTCCTGAGACCAATGAGAAGGAAATGAAAGAGGAACACATTTGACCTTATGAGCCCAAGGCCTCCCTGGGTGACAGCAAAGGCTGGCCAAAGTCTGTGGGAATCCCTCCCTCCTAGGCGAGCGTTACCCTCGTTCCTCAGTTTGATGCCTGATAGGGCCTGTGACTCCTCCCTCTGCTGTCCTGAGTCTGGTCCCTTCAGAACAAGCCTTCACCTCCCTGAGACCACCAAGAGAGTGGTGGCACACCACATCTGTTCACTCTGGCTGGAGCCTCCCAGAGCAGACAGCAGGGGCAGGCAGGGCTGGGTGTGCCTTCAGTCCTCACTCAGGGTCCCTATCTTAAATCCTGGCAGTAACGGGGCCACCTCCCTCTGCTGACCTGACGTGGCTCCTCCTCAGAGCAACGCTCTCACCTCCCTGAGAAGCCCTGCACAAGAATGAAGAGGCAACACCTCTTGCTGCCTTGGCTAGGTCCTTCCAGTGCTGACAGCAAGGGCTGGTCCCCATCTGTTCTGTGGTAAGGCTAACCTCAATCCTTCCTCATGGCATTCATCCCTACTCTTGGCATGGCCCGGACTACCTGCTGCTGACTTAACATCACTCCCTTAGACTATGACCTCGCCTCTCTGGGACACCTCCCTCACCTTGGAGAAAGTGAGGGCGTGCCATATCCAGGCAACCCTGCTTGGGTCATCCTAGGGCTGAGAATAGGAGAAAGCCAGACCGTATGGGATCTCTTCTTTCTGGGGTGGGAAGTACTTTTGTTCCTCACCAAAGGCCCTTACCTTAACTCCTAGTAGAGCTTGGGACTCCTCCCTCTTCTGATCTGATGTGGCTTCTTCAGTTCCCCTGCCTTCACACTCAGACTAAGGACCTCAGTTCCAAGTCCCTCAAAACAAAAGTGAAGAGACATCAGAGCAAGCCACACCTTCCCAGGGTCTTGCTGACATCAGGGGCGAGGCCTCATATGCCCCAGATGCAGGGGGTTTCCCTCTGTCTTTCCTCAGGGTGTTCTTTCTTCCTGGTAGGGCCTGGGCTCACTTCCTCTGAAATCACCCTCTCAGACCAAGGCCTCACTTTCCAGAGACCCCCTCCACCCACCCCATGCAGGAAGTGAGGATATAACACATCTGGGCATTCCTACTCAGATCCTCCCAGAGTGGATAAGTGGTGACAAGGTAGAGTTTCCGTGAGGCTCTTTCTGTCTGGGTTGGGGGGCACTCTTAGTCTTCCTTCAAGATCCTTACCTTACCTTGACTCGTCACAGATCCTGGAACTCTTCCCTCTGCTGATGTCACCAGCTCAGGCCAAGCTCTTCACCTTCCTGGGATACTCCAAACAAAAGTAAAAAGACACCAAATCCAGCCATTCCTGCCAGGGGTCTGTTCCAGTGTGGGGAATATACCCAATCCTCCCTCGAGGTATTCATCTGTACTCCCAGCAAGGCCTGTCCTAGCCTCTGCTGACCTAAAGTCTCCCCCTCCAATCAAGACCTCACCTCTGTAAGACACTCTATCCCCTTGACTCCTGGTAGTGTCTGTGGCAGAAGTGAGAGTTCCTCCCACCTGGCTACTCCTGCTCAGATCGTCCCAGGGCTGTGATTCTGTGGGTCCTTCTTTTCAAGGAGAGGGGCTTTCAGGCTTCACACCAAGGATCCTTACATTGACTCCTGACAGGGCCTGGGAATCCTCCTCTTCTGAACTGCTGCGTCACCTCCTGAGACCAAGGTCTTCACCTCTGTAAGACACTCCCCCAGACAACGTAAGGAAATGCCACATCTGGCCAACCTTGCCTGTGGACTCCTGGGGTGGACACGAGGGGTGGGACAGGGCTAAGGCCTCCCCTCTCTTGGGGTATTTTCAAGGCAGGCCAAGACCCCATCTATCTGAGGTGGAAGGTCCTCTCTATCCTCCCTCATAGTCTTCTTCTTAATGACTGGCAGGGCCTGGGACTGTACCCTCTAGTAACCTGATGTTACAACCCTCAGAAAAAGCCTCACTTCCCTCAGACTTCCAAAGTGGAAATCAGGAAACGCTGCATTTGGCAACCCTGCTGTGTGGCCTCCCACGGCTGACAGCAGGGCTAAGTTTCTGTGACACCTTTCTGCAGGATGAGAGATACTCTAAATCCTCCCTCCGAGTCCTCACCTTGATACCTGGCAGAGGGCAGTACTCTTCCTGCTGCCCTTGGGCTACACCCATCAGATCAAGGTCTTTGACCTCCCTGAGACCCCGCACCAGAAAATACGGAGGGGCGGCCACATCCAGTAGCCACCGCCCTGGTCCTCCCGTGTTGCCAGCAAGGGCAGAACAGCACTGGGTCCCGTCTGCTCTGGGGAAGGGGGTGCCCTGAGTCCTTGACCTGACTCCCGCTGGGCCCTGGGACTCCTCCCTCCGCGAAGTTGCCCTTGCCCCTTCAGGCCTACGCCTTCATTCCCCTGACAACCTCCAAGCAAAACTAAATAGAAGACACATCCTGCCACCCCTGCCCTGGGTCTCCCAGAGCTCCCAGCAGGAGCCGAATCCCCTCTACTCTGCAGGGGGGCCATCGCCTCTGTGCTCCCTCAAGCACTCAGAATGCTCCCTCAGACAAGGCCTCACTTCCGTGACACAGACCCCACCACTCCCTGGAAGAAGGGAGGGGACACCCCATCTGACCACGATGCCCAAGTCCTCCCTCCGCGGGGACTGAGTGGGGCCCATCACGAAGCCTGCAAATACTCACATTTACTCCTCACAGGGTCCGCATCCCCTCCCTCCTGCTAACCTGGGGACGGTCCCTCAGCCCTGGCCACCGTCCCCTAGAGATGCCGGGGACGGCAGCCGGGGGGGGGGGGGGGGGGGGGAAGGACCCCCCCCCGGGGCCCCCGGGCCCGCCCCGGCCCCAGGGGGGGGCCGGGGGGGGGGGGGGGGGGGGGCGGTAAAGGACCGCCACCTGGGCTCCACGGTCCAGCCCGGCTCCTCGGGGCTGACGGGAGGCGCAGGGGGTTCTGGGCCCCCTGCGCCCCTCCCCCGGCGTCCGCACTGGACGGTCCGATCACTTGCCCCCGGGTCTGCCCCTCGAAGCCCGCCAGGGGCCCGGGCTTCGCCTACTACCGAGCCGCAGCCACCTCGGCACAGAGAGCCGCCCATCCCTCAGCCGCCCCACATCCGGGGCCCCGCACGCACTCCGTGGCGGGAGCGTTGTCCCCTCGCCGCCTGTCGGGCCGGGGCCGCGTCCCCCCGCCCCGCGAACAGGCCCCCGGCGCGCAGACCCCGCGGGGGAAGGTGCGGGCCCCCCGCCCGCCCCGGGTCCTCACCCGCTGCCCGGCGGCCGGCCCTCTGCTGGCCCCTGAGTCGGGGGGCCCCGCACCCCCAAAATGCACGTCACCGCCCGCCGTATCCGCCCATCCCGCTTTGGGGCTTCCCCAGGGCGGCTGGCTCAGAGGGCCCTGGGCCGTCTCCCCCTCCGTCGCCTCACTCCTCACCCTGCGGCCTCGCAGAGCCCAGGCCTCCTACCCCTGTGCCCTAAGTCCGCAACCCCCAGGCCAAGCTCGCGTCCCCCAGACGCCCAAGACCAAGGTCGCCAAACGCCGCTACCCACCACACGTGCTCGGGGCTTTCCAGAACTAACGGCCCCGGGGGGGCCCCGCCTGGCCCT